CTAAAATAATTATTTTTAAGAAAAGATAACAATATTTTAAAATCTTGAATGTCTTCCAAGTACGCTAAAACCTAAATCAAAACATGTGTGACGCCGAATATTTAATAAATCCAGCAGCCGCCCCAGCTGGGTCAAAACACCGGTAACATTTCAGCTAGTTAGTTAGTTAGGTTGTTTGACAGAAGATTTAAATATTTTTTTTTTAAATAATTAAATGTGCATACCTTGAGATGCTAACTCTGGCTTTACTAATATCGAATTCATTGTGTGTGTATGTGTGGAGATAATGCCTTAATAAATCCGTTTAAGTTTGAAATACACGACACAACATTTTACTCCATGCCTACGAGTGAACTGTAGTACTCAATGCTGACTCACTCAATGAACCAAGCTTTGGGACCTTCCTTGTCAAAGATGATCAAGTTAGTACGGAAACCCGTTAATGACATATATCTCAAAATCATATAGCTGGTTCGTTCTATTTTTGGGTTTAACGATAGTGTCAAGAAAAAAAAATGTGTGATCGGCGCGTCGTAGCCGTTTCATAAGATGGCAAACTTATGACATTTATATATGGGCTAAATGGCTACAATTTGTGAAGTGGCCATAAATGAAAATAGGCAATTCTACTTTATTTTTTAATTTTATTTTATTTTTTTTATTTTTTTTTAAGCTTTCACGAAATGAACTTTTCAGCGGAGTTGTGCTTTATCAGTTTTCCCCGTAGTTAAGAGTGGATACCAAATACAGTGGTACAGCTCTCATAAAAAAAATATGAAGAAGTTCAATACTTTGTTTGAAACTTAAGCCTTTTTCAGACTAATTTGTAAAAATATCTGAACATAATGACCAAAAAAAATTAAATAAAATAGTACGATACCTTGCCAATGTTATTTAAATTTTGTTTTATAAATATCTGTAGTTTTCCATCTTCTTTGATTTGAATGGGTTTTCATACTATTTTATAAAAATCTACGCTGCATACCCAAACGATAACATTGAAGCAGCAGGTATCAAACACCTTAACCACCCCTGGCGTAACCTTTCTCTCTCGTTTCCCACAACACTCCCTTATTTATTTTTAATGGTCAAGACTTTATTTAGAATTTTGAAATACTAATGGAAATCAATCATTGACTTCAATACCCACCCCGACTTCAATATCCACCCCACCCCCTAAAAAACCCAACTCCTTAAATTAAATACCGGTAGTTCAGACTAGAGTTAGAGGCCGACTGAATTTCGGTTTCGGCGCCGATAGTTGCCACGTTTATTTTCTGCGTGGTTTTGGTTTCGATTTGAAACAGTAAAGTTAACTTTCGGTTGATTTTCGGTTTCGGTCGAAAGTGATGTTGGCTTTCGGCCCACAACCAGAAGTCAGACTGTGACTATCAGTCGACAACCCGCTATTCATTTCTGTTCGACGTCTTGTTGATACAGTACCGATATGATGTAGGCCTATGACTAATCCTCTGCGAACGATGCTCACAGCTGAACGATGGCATATTGTCCAATATTCCCACAAATAAAATTGCAAGTAGTCTTAGGCAAAGGTAAATAGTTTTGTGAAGAAAAAAAAAGTGAGTGAAATGCAGTATTTGTAATATAATATTATTTTTCATAAATCAAATTTGGGGAGCATTTAAATTCATTCATTTGTGCATGCAAATTGATTTTTCATTTTCATGCTCATAAATGTTTTCATAGGCAAAGGTAAATAGTATCATGAAAAAAAAATATAAGTGAATAGTAACTTTTGCTTTATTTATTTATTGTTTAAAATAAAAATTAGGTAGAGGTTGACAGAGATGGTTCGTGCATGGGAAAGGTTCGAAATCTGCGTCATTTGCAAACGACGACAGGCATGGCTACCACAGATGCCAAGAGTGCCGAGGCTTAAAACAAGCATTTTGCAAAGATAAATCGGAAGAAGAAGGAGTCCAGAGAGAGCAAGAACCTAAACCGTCTCGTGCAACATGGAGAAGTGGCCCAACAGTGGGGACCACATGTTGAGATCTTTACCGCAACTTTCAATATGACTGAATTGCAAACCGCCATCGACAAGTACAACGCCACCAAGGCACCAAGTCCGGACAAGATCTGTAACGAAATGATCAAAAACCTTGGCCAGATAGCTATTGTCCATCATTAACAGATCCTGGGTAACAGGAATCCTATCCAGAGCTTGGCTTAGCGCTACCATCGTCCCTATTCCCAAAGTATGGAAGAAACTCGATCAACCGGCTATCGTCCAATTTCCTTAGAATCTTGTTTAGGGAAAGTAGCACAGAGAATGGTTAACCAGGGGCTCTACTAGTACCTGGAGAGTACCGTGAGCCTCAGCTCAATACAGGCAGGCTTCCGCAAAGGAAAGGCAGCCTGTAGATCAGGCGCTCCGTCCTCTCCAGTCCATAAAAGATGGGCTCCAGAAAGAGTCGAACACAGTGGCTGTATTTTTTTACCTCCGACAAGCCTATGACCGAGTTTGGAGGTCCAGTCTATTGTTGAAGATGCAAAAGTTGCGAGTAACTGCCAACATGTACAGGTGGGTTGCCGGTTTTCTTACAAACCGGACAATCGGTACGAAATTCGGCAGCGAAACCTCCAGGAAGAGAACCCTTGAAGAAGGGCTCCTGCAAGGGTCAGCCCTCAGTTGCACCCTCTTCCTAGCCTACATCAATGACTTGCCACAAAATCTAGCAACTAATGCTGCGATGTATGTCGACGATTAGGTCATCTGGCGCACCGGTAAAGATGTCCACCCCCTGCAAACGCTATTACAGCAAGACATTTCTGCTATCAATAGGTACATGCGGCGGTGGCATATGGAAATTAACACCAAGAAGACCCCAAACCGAAACCTAAAGATGTAAAACTAATTTAAACTAAGTAGGTCTATCTCGAAATTCATTTGCGCAGACGTTACCAAAGGTTTATTATTATCTTCCCTTACATTTGTGTCCTTACACGTGACTAATTTGGTGTGATCTTTTAAAATATATATCATTGTCAATTTCAACATTTATGAGCATGATAATGACGAATTTCAATGAATAAATTGAGTAAGCCTAGGTAGTTCTGTTTGATTGATGCAATAATCATGCACGATGCCCTCCTCCTCGTGTTAATATAATTATATATCATAACATGTATTATGTATTTAATACAAGTATTGAAAGGCAAAGGCCCATGGTTCGGTAGTGCAAGTGAAGCGTAGAAGCTAGTCACCGTAGCTACAAACACGGAGGATGCATCCCTAGTGGAGTACCTAGAGTTTGTGACACCCTGAGCAGTATTTGACTTTGTCACCACTAATTCGCGAAAACTACAAAGTATCGAAAACACCATCAGCACCACGGGTGGATGGGGCTCGTTAACCTTGGAGAGCATCTCATCTTAGAGAAGGAAAACTCAGAGTTCAAATCGGTAGATGGAGTCCCGTAGGCGATATGAAACTAAGATAATAAAAATTCCGTCAACTCATGCGACGCTACTGGCGCTAAGCTGTATTACACACACACACATGATCTTCCCTTGGGTTATCTAGATGCGCGGAGAGAGCTGATTTGCTATCTGGGGAACCAGCTTATCCTAAAGAAAAATCACAGGCCTTGTGATTTCGTCCTGCGAAGTCTACTCCATTGTGACGGACAGATGCCAGAAGGGAAAAAAGTGGCAAGCAAAATTAAATTAAATTTTAAAATAAAATTGTGTAGTCTATTTCATAAGTCAAATGAGTGTTCTTGGCATAAGAATTTTTAAAATAAATAACCCCGCCCCTTGAATTTTGCTAACATTTCGTCGAAATACAAACATGTTGTGTCACAATACGTACCTACATTTTTTCAGAATACAATTATCAATATTTTCATGCTACTAAAATTTACGTACCTACTCACTCGATTGTTTTGTCACATAGCCTACTAAATCATTAATATAAATAAATTATGCTAAAATATGTGTTCGTGAATAGCTACTCTATGCATAAGCATCATTGTGTGTTTAGTTACGTCGTTAGAGGATGTGTTGTCAAAAGCATTTGCCCCACCCCCTCTCGCTCCTCCCTTGTGGACAGCCATGCCCCCCTCCCCTTACAAAGCCTTCTGCGAACCTCCACGAGCCAGGTATCTCTCAACATTGAAAAGGCACAAATTTGACTCCCCTTATTAACTTATAACACCTTTTGCCTTTGGTCCGCCTATGGGTGGGGTTTAATGCGTAATCTTATTACTAACTCAAGTGAATTCTCCGCCTGGTTCCTTTCACCTCACGAAGGAGTTAATTAACACGTTTTATCAACACTATTACAATTTACTATTTCGTCTATTTTTATCACCAGTATTCTTTCAGACAATTTGTTCCGTTTTTTTTTCTTTATTATTTTCTTTGGAAGTGGGTGTGGGTGGGTGCGGTGGTTCAGATATACGTTCGGGTGGACAGTGTATCTATAAGCACCCAAATTAGGCATGATGATTAGGATCAACTATGACTCAGTCACCCCACCCTTCTACATAACCTAAATTAATTCCAGTTGTGGCGCCCCGGGGATAGGCTTTGCTTTTGGACCTAGCTTGGTTTCGCCGCAGTCGTCTATTCGGAAGAATAAAGGAAAATAAAGTTTTGTCAATTCAAGAAAGGCATTAAAAACTATTTTAAAAAATATTACTTTATATTAATTCCCTGGTTTAGTTACGTCACACAGAAAATGTTCTAAATCATCAACACAATGTCAATGAGTGACAATGTGGCAAACATAATTTGTTTAAAAATGTAGAGCGTATGCATAAAAATGTTGTCAAACGATTCCAAGTCCAAACGTTAGCGCATTTTAATTCAAAACCATAGATATAAAAAGCGTTTTTTGTTTTTTTTTGTGATTTGAAAATATAAAATTATCGGCTATTGCGGTGGAGAAAAATTACTGAAATAAACAATTATATTTTATTTACTTTATGTTTTTTACGTAAGTTAATATTATGTGTCTGCTGCATTTGATCTATAAGAACATCAACATCCGGTTAAAGAAATGAAGTGAACAAATTATTCGATTGTTTACGATGGATGCGGTGAAAGCTGAAATAGAAAGGAAGAAACGCCAACTTGATGATACCAATTTGATAAAAGTAAAATAAGATTATATTTTGAGGGCCCACGATCACAGTGTCAACAATCCAACAATGTCACAATCACTATGACTATGCCTATTGAATCCTGGCTCGTATACTTTTGTCGTTCGGAATACACTGCTATCCGTCAGATCAGTTCCATCCGCCAATACCTCACAGTTAGCGCTACAAAAACTCTAGTCTGTGCTCTTGTTCTCTCTCGTCTAGACTATTGCAACTCTCTTCTGTCAGGTTCCTGCATAGAAAAACTGCAGAAAGTCCAAAACTCAGCTGCTAGGCTAGTTTTAAAGGCACAAAAAAAAATGATCATGTCACTGCACTACTCCACTCCCTTCATTGGCTCCCTATACTACAAGTTGTCTGTTCTCTGTCACAACTTTTTCTGGGATTCCTGCCATTCTTCTTTCTGTCTATTGACCCCTTCGACAGCTTCGCTCCTCCGCAGACACGCATATTCTGTCCATTCCCAAGACAAACATCAAAACATATGGTGAATGATCTTTCTCTTTCTGCGCCCCCAATCAATGGAATTCTTTGCCACTACACATCGCAATATACCAACCACCCAGGCATTCAAAACTGCACTCAAAACACTTCTCTTTCAACTATACTACCGTGACTGATTCCCCTCCTCTGACCGATAAATGATCTAGTTGGCTGCAGTCTATGGTTTGCCTTGTAAAAGTCCTGGGGTTCATGCTGTTCTTTCCCCTTTATTTCATAATTGTATTTTATTTTAATGTCATGATTATGTCTCTTTTGATAATATTTTTATGTACAGCGCGGTGAGCCCAGCCCTAGGCTGGGGTACCGCGCTATAAAAGACCACTAATTATTATTATTATTATACTATTTAAAATTTATTTAAAATTATTTATTAATTTATTTAGCATCTAAAATTCAAAATCAAAATTATTAAATGTCAATGAGAAAATGACTTGGAGTAGTCAGGGTCCAGGGTAATAGGCACTTCGGTAAGAGACTACTTCAAAATTTAAATGGGAATCGGTGCAGAAGAATCTGAATCAGAGTTTTTAATTGGACGTCTGTGATTTTTCATTGATGAAAGGGCTATTTTGTCATAAAATTGTGGTATTCTTTTGTCATAAAATTGTGGTTTTCATCCATACGTTAACATTAGTGGACATCTTGATCTACGTTTCCATCATAAATTTTTACCTTTAAAATCAAAATCAATATTAGAAATTCATGAGTATATTAATAAGGCATCTTTACATCCTAAATTTCATATGACATATGAAGTTCAAATTTTATGTCTTTCTTCATATTCATTTTTCATCTGTAATATATACTGATGTAAATGTGTGTGGATTCTCATTGAGCTAAGACATGTCGGCCATGGCCATTAGTTATGCTCATCCAAGTGACTGCATTACCATCAGATCACCTGCCCCATTAAGACCATGCCACCTTTTTAATGGCGGAAGATGCCAATACTTATGAAATATTCAATTACTACCACTATTTACATCAAAATATTTGATAATTTGTATCTGAGAGTGAACTTAGAAAGATTTAAACAAGAATATTTTAATTTGAGATTTTAAAACCTGTTAGAGTCCAATATTATAAATTATCATAAATGCTGTGTGCATAACGTTGTTATGGGCAACCATTCACAGCCATTTGCATAATGGCTATATACTATAGTACTATCTCAGAGTTTCATTCATAAGAGTTTGCCATGTGCAAAAACTATTAAACCATTTGTCAGGGAAAGCTCTAATTAATTAGTCAAGTGCCAAAGTTGAAAGTTCAAAATAAGTAGTCCCTTAACAGTATTTTGTAATAAGGGGATTCATTGCCTTATATAGACAATTTAATACATACCATCATAATGGACGCCATAGACTTGGTAAACAGAAAAGCCATATATTAAAATAGTAAATTAAATTTACTGATATCCATAGTGCATAGTTAGATAAGTTAGAATTTATTTATAATTGCATAACATTATTAAAATTACTTGTTTTAAATACAGCATTAATTCTGAAAATAAAAGTTATATAAAATTATCATTAAAAGAAGAGTTATTGTTCATGAAGTGATCAGCGAAATGGGGTCACATAGTGTAGAGGTTTTCTCCATTTATGACAAAATGAAATTTATAGAAAATATTTAGTAAAAATTTTATTTTTTTTCTAAGAAATATAATGATATGAAATAATATTTATTCTAAAAACTACCAAAAACATGTCACAAAATGGGGACAAAAAATACATTAAGGGAAGATACCAAACTACCCCAAATTTTAAAAATTCATAACTTTAAAACTAAAAAACAGCTAGAAATTTGATTTGGTGTTATAATTTTGTAGCAAATGAGCACTATTCAACTATGCCATTGGTTTTATTTTTACAAACATTTTTTAAATTTTAATCAAAGTACCTATTAAATAGTAATTGAATGTGTAGTTAGCACATGGGTTTATTAGAGAGTTGTCTTACCCTCAGTGCTGTGACATCAGTTTGGGGAAACCCAACACTGGACTTCTGGTGACAGGACCAAAAGTTGACCTGATCGATCTGTGTGTATGATAACTTACTGATAACTTCCCAATTCTACAATGAGCATTCTTTGTGTCATAAACTAAATCTAACCGATATAGTTAATATAATTTTTTTTTATAACATAGATATTAAAATGAAAATTTCCATTCGCTTTTATTAAAATTCAACATACTTACTAGGTTTAAAGGAAATTTTTTAATGAAACTCATCTTTGTTGATAACCCAAGATTATGAACACTGGAAAAAAAGATACGCATATTGTTAAAAATGATTATTTTGTTTGGTTGAAAAACGAAATACCAATTTAGCTATTCAATTTAATCATGTTGCAATTTCACAGGCTATTTCAACATAATTTTCTGGGGTGGGGAGGGGTGTGTTGTGTCATCGTTGTGCCCTCCCCCCCCCCCCCCCTCCTATCTTCTTTTTTGGGGGGGGGGGGGGGGTTTTTTTTTACCTTTTTCCCCCCCCCCCCCCCCCCATATTATAGCTTTTAAAAATAATCCAATTTTTTGATTACATATAGGGTTCACTTTTTATTATTCAAACAGCCTACTCGGTTATCGGAACTGTCACTTTTATCAAAATAACACTTGACAAAAATTGTTTTAAAGCAAAATCTGTGGCCCACTAGTCTATGTCTATTGTCTAAACTTTGCAGATTAATTTATTAAATTGCCCTAGTCTTATTCCTACTTAGCCTTGGCCTACCTTACAACTTAATTCCAGAAGAGAGAGTCTTGAAATTGCATCACCTGATTGCATTCTTTAGGATAAATTAGAACATAAACAACCTTTTCCCAATCAAAGGAGTGGAGGGCGTGGTAGAAAAGGAGTGGCAGTACAATGTCATCAAGTTAATTGGTGATGTCAGTATCAAAACTAAAAAGGGGGGGGGGGGAGGGAAGGTTAAAGGCCAAAACTGGTGTGATGAAGATAATTGGGTCAAGATACATGCTATAACAACGCCCTTGTGCAGACAAAATGACAGTTCATTCGGGTTATGGATACAATAAAGTTTCTACTTTCATCCAGAATTATAATTTGGCTCTGGTCAATTTGAGGAAGGGAGCCTTGAGCGCTAGCTATCCATTACTCATTACCATCATCTGCCAAATTTTGTATCATTAATATTAGCTTAATTTTAGGCTTAGACTTTTAATAAATTTTATGAGTGTTTAAGTTAAGTTATCCTGTGATGAGTCTGATCATAATAAAAGTAATGTTAGGAGGCTTAAGAACTAAAGTTAATTGCAAAACTATTTAATTTTATTTTGGATGTATTTAATTATTTTAATATAGTTGGATATGGTTGTTGATAATGTTTATTAGGCGCTATGTATGAGCTTACAAATGCAATGGTCAGCAATATTATCAATCAAGATGAGTTATCACATGAAAGAATGGGCATAGATTAACAAGGTGGTAAAATCTGGTTTGAATTACTTGATGGATTTAGCTGGATAAAGACTTTAATTTTAAAGCAAATGTTCATTTGAAAATGCTTTTTTTCTTTCTATGACTCTTTCCTAAAAATTCTTATTGAAGATTCCATTTTGTTTTTAAGTTGACCACTGCCATTGTCAACCATTGGATAAATGAATTAAAAATGTAACAGTTTAAAAATTTTAAAAAATATGTTTAGGATCCCAAGAAAAAGTATTTTAAAAGAGGAGACCTTGCTGCTAAACAGGCTGAAGATTATTGGAAAAAACACAGTAACGTTGTTAAATCTGACTACACATCACAGGTAAATAACGTTTTTAAATCAGACTACACATCACAGATAAGTAATGTTGTTAAATTCTGACTACACATCACAGTTAAATAATGTTAAATGCAACTTGCACATTACAGTTAAGTAATGTTCAAACTGACTACACATCACAGGTAAATGTTTGCAATCATATTTTTAACACATTTGATTTATATTCTAGTCATTGGATTGACATAAAGAATGTTTGCATTTAGGCTGAATTGTGAATCACAGAACTGTCTAGATTCAGCTAAATAATAAATTACAAGAGAATACAAAGAGTAACAGGGAGCATGCTGACATAACAAAGCCTCCCTAGAAAATTGGCAGAGATTTAGTGGCGGAGAGAATATAATCACTACTATGTATTACTTTAACTAGCATTAACTATAAAAGACCCATGTCATGGTTCTGTTTGTTTTTGATTAAACTTAAATGTCTCTAGACTTTAATTAGGATTAATTTTTTTTTTTTCCAGACCTCTGAAGGCCAAAGTACAATCATAACAAGTGGTGATGGAAAAATTTCAGACAAGCATGCTCAGTTACCCCGGAAAGAGGTAAGATAGTTGAAAGTGAATTTACATTTATTACAGTAGCTTACCTGCAAAACTGTCTTAAAATGAAATTAAAGCAATTCTAAACTAGCACAAATAAACTTAAAAACCTCTGATCACATATTTCTAGATGCTTGTGCTGTCATTTGTTTATATCATACCTGATTTATATAAATAAGTTAGTAAAAGAAAGAAATATTTCAAGCTCAATTTCAACTATTGGACACACTTTATAACATAAACTGAGATTTTATTAAAGATAAATTTACTTAAGGTAAGATACTTGAATTAGGATTTCTTTTTGATTTAATGAACAATAATTTTTGGGTTTCTTATCCATTTTTGATTAATCTCTAAAATTATTTATTTAGGTTATTAGAAAACTGAGAGAGCGAGGTGAGCCAATCCGTTTGTTTGGTGAAGATGATTTTGATGCATACAAACGACTGAAGAAACTTGAAACCTCTGAGCCAGATGTAAAGGTAAAAGCTGAATTTCCTGGTCTTCTTTATAGTGTACAATTAGGTATGTTTATTCTGCTGCTATTCCCTTAAGTAAAAATGATGACAAAGAAATCAAATGTTTTTAGAGTAAGGTATCGTTTAAGTAGTATTATATCATTGATGATGACAAAGAAATAGTATGTGTTTAGAGTAAGAAATCATAAAGTAATAAAATATAATTTAAAATACATTTCCATCTGATTGCTTTACGTCTGTTCCAGGGAGAAGGTTATTCAAATGATTTCCAGGCTGCTATGGAGAAAGTGGATCAAGACTACTTGAATGAAATCATTAAATCCACCGGGGAGGAAGAGATGACCAAGTCTAATGATGTTTCTGTCAAAGATGACGGCACAACACAGGAAGATATTTCAGTAAGGCTCAGAATGATGAAAACAAGAGATAACATGGAACCACTTATACGTATATAAACTTGTCCCATGAAAAAGACTGATTGCATGCTATCCATATAATTACTGTAGTGCTCTCATTTCTTTGAGACTAAATTTGAATTTTAAAGCTTCGTTGAAGTTTTTACACAAAAAAATTTTATCTGCATAATTAACATTAGTCTTGTGCCAATTTATTATAAGATTTAATAGTACTGGTAGTTAATAATTTTCAATGTCTGTTAATTACTGTTTCTCAAATTCTACTGCATTAATGTGAAAACGAGTCAGACAGAAGGAACTTTATTTTGTATATGTAAAAAAGAAATGGAAAAGGGACCACGATTTAAGTCCTTAGTTCTAAAAATTCTAGGTAAAAAATTTCCTGGATTGTCATCAGGCTCACTATATATAATTTCTACCATTTAATCAAACTTAAGCATCCCACAAATTGACCTCATCATTTATCATTACAGCGAATGAGAGAAGAACTTGGTAAGGGAGACAAGGACAAGGACCATGAAATAGTTTTGAGATTTTTCAAGGTAAACTTTTCAATAAGATTTGCAAAATTTTAATCATTAGATATTATCATTGGGCTATTCTCAATTTCGAAAGGAAAATCATGTAAAAAATATTTTTCAAATAAGAAGTACACTAATGTGTCGATTGTAGATATGGCTCCTTATTTTTTCAGTGATTGCAGAATATCTTCTGATCTTGTTGTTTTATCTCCCTTTTTTTCAACAGATATAAAAAATGCCATGTCAAATAAATCAAGGATCCTTTCATTTATAGCCTGTGATTCTGATCATACTATGGCCATTACACACAGAATTATTTTCTTAGCAAAACAGTCAAAGTTAATTCCATGCAGAAAAACTGAAATGTAGACACAGCAATGTATGCTCATAATTTATTATGACATTTCCTATTTTTATATATTATTTGGGTTGTTTGTCCCTGTCATATAAAATGTATGTAAATAGGACAGAAAAGGATTCTATTTGTTGGATTACACACTCCCAAGAAATGCTAATTTAGCAGTTTCCTTAAAGTGACACATTAACTGAAGGGACTCCATTGCTATTGTTTTTATGTTTCTATCAATAGTTTGTCTTGAAGAAGTGGGGTGAACAACTGAACACTCGTTCAGAGGAGGACAAGAGAACCATCAAAGGGAAAGTAGCTAGCGCCACACATTCCCAGACTGTCTCATATCTCAAGCCATTGTTCAGGAAGTTGAAATACAAGGTGTGTTGTCCCTGAGAAATTAAATTCTAACAACATAGTTCAACAAATGTTCAACTCTATAAACATATTTGTACACATGTTCAATTCTCTCAACATTGTTGTACAAATGTCCAATTTTTTCTATAAATGTCCAATTCTTTTCTATAAATGTCCAATTCTTTTCTATACATATGGAAATTTCTTGACTCTCCTCTCTATTTCAATGGACTGGTCTTTATTCCCTTACTTATAGATATTTCTAGGAAATATAACAGAAACCTGTTAATTTTATAAATATCTCAGTTTCACCAAAATGTTAAATAGGAAAGTCTGGTCCACAGCATTCCCTTATTTATATCACATTTCATTACACTACTATTATACGAACTAAAATGACTGTTTTCTGTCTCAGGATGTCGATGAAGGTTTGTTGGAGAGCATAGTTGAGATTGTGCAGTATATGATGGATAAAAATTACATAAAGGTATATTGGCATTTTAACACTTTTTATTAATAACCAATACTTCATAATTGAAAATAGAAGTTCTATGGACTTAATTCTGAGAAATATTTTCACCTCCAATTTTTTACTATACTATTTATATGCCTGAAAACGTATTTTTGAGACACATCAAGGGATACTGCAATAAGAATAATTGTTTAATGCCTTATTTGTAAAAAATAGCTTGTATATCTAAATCCAGCAATTTTATTTTAGGCTAATGATTCCTACTTGGAAATGGCTATAGGTAATGCACCATGGCCTATTGGTGTCACTATGGTTGGTATTCATGCCCGTACAGGTCGTGAGAAAATTTCTTCCCGCTATGTTGCCCATGTGTTGAATGATGAGACACAGAGAAAATACATTCAGGTGAGTCGTACTTCTAATTTTACTCATTCATGTCAACCTTCCATCTCTTGAATACTCCTGCATAGCATCTGTTCTGAATAAAACATGGCACTCCCGTATAAAGAACATCATGTCATGACTAAAATAATGATCCACAATTCAAATAGCAGTGTATATAGAAAGTCCATAATATTATGTAGATGCCTTTTTATCTCCCCTCCTTACTACAATTAGTAGTAGAAATTGCATTTCACATGATGCAGCATTTATATTTAACAGTCAAATTATTTTTTTACTGTTAGCCCTCACAAAGATGCTAATAATAGCAATTATTTGATGCTTAAATTTATCAGCATAGCATTCCCAAAGTCCAAAGTTGACATGAACATTTTGTTACCTTGATTAGCATATTCTATATAGTGTCAGTCAAAATCGACCATGACCACCTTAATCATCGTAAATGTGCTAATAGTGACTTGGCTGTGGGTGCGCAGATGGCTGAGACCAATTCTGGCATGAAATGTTCTTGTGCAGTAAGTGCAGGGGATTGATGGGATATCTCCATGTGCAGAGTTAACTCCGGCTTTTCTGGCATTTCTTTTGTGCTCTGCAGCCGCTGTGCTGTTGGCTTCATGTTATATGATGCTTGATCCTTTGCAAATTCTTCTCATGTATCTGGGTCTATATCATTCAAATGCTTTCAGTGAGGCTCTTAGGCTGTCTTGTATCAAATGCTGACACTTTTTAATATGCATGATGATTTATCTTCAGAGCTTTTTTGTTACAGTTATTTATAACATATTACAAAAATTGATCATTGCCTTATGTACCACTGGATTAACTTGGCAAAAAAAAAAAAAGCCTTGGACAAGGCATTCCTTTGTTAGGTAATTACAACTAAAGCATGGAAAAAGTATCCAAATTTTGGATTGCATGATTTTATATTGTGATTGTGCATCTAAATGCTACTATTACATGTAAAAAGAGGTTCTCATTGGCAGAATTCAAACTGTGCAGTTCTATTCATAATATTTGTTCAAGATATTTTCAAAATGCCTACTAAACTGAATTTTGTAAAGAAAATCTCAAAATATTTACCTCTGAATCTTTATATATTATTAAAAAATTAATAAATGCGAAATAAATTCTATTTAAAAAGTGAATTTGATTTTACTGCCTACCTGTTAATTACTTAATTATAAAAAAATAAAAATATTAAAGTAAACTTATGATTTCAGGCTGTCAAACGACTGATGACACAATGCCAGAATCTCTTTCCTACTGATCCATCTCGCAGCTACAATTTCTTAAGGCCAGCAAACAAGACATAAATATGACTTGAATAATATCTGAATCAAGTTGAAGAAAAAATTAAAGTCAACATTTGTATTCTCCATGTTTTCATAGAGGGTGTAAAATACCTTGATGCACTCTTTGCTATTGTTACATAACAAAACGATCACCAGTATTTGCATAGAAATCTAGAAGGATATTTATAAATTTGAGATGGAAATCATATCTGAAAGAAAGATCAAAAAGCGCAAGCAAATTCATAGATTAGACAGACTAATTAAGTTAATGGAATATTTATAGACACTGGAATTAAGCTGTTGCAGACACTAAAACAGTGTGGATAGTTATTAATGAATTCAGCACATTTTAAGGTATAATTTCACATTAAAAATCAGTTCACTTAAAAAATCTTTTCATTCCAACAAAGTATTTTTTTTAAATCATGGAACAAAAAGCACTTTGAAAATGTAAAGATTTTTCCTCTCGTTAAAAAGAAATGGAGTTTTTATAATCACAACTATCTAAGCATCAAGTATGTCGCACTTGAATGTAGAATTTACCTTGGCAGTTGTGAAGATGTACATTACAATTGCATTTACTATCATGAACTAAATAATGGACAAAAGCGAATTTATACTGGATCATAAGCTGTAACAGTGTAAAAAATCAACAGAACCAGAACTTTATTTTATTTTAGTATATTGTATGTATTGTGTTTTTTTTTGTAAGATAAAGTCCTTGAATTCATTTTGTTAATAAATTGTGCCAACAAAATTGTCTTTTTCAGATTTATTTAGTGTATGAAATGTGGGCTCGTGAAATTTTCCATCAAAATCTGCACTCAATGAATTTTACCACATCAAAAACCTTTGTCAGTTTTTTAAAATATTTTTACATATATATACTAAATTTGCACTCAAAATTCTTTGAAGATATTTATTTTTTATGGTTTCATTAAAAAAAAATGTATAACTTGTACTTGTAGAAAATATCTGCCAATGTCTAAAAATTAGAAAACAGTATTTAAACCTTGAATTTAAGTCATCTTGGTTATGTTAGCTGGGGGAAAAGTTATGAAAGTCGTTAAGTGTTAACAATTTCCCCAAAGGCATGCATTTGGTATATTATGACAATAGTGAGGAAATGTTAAATTACAGTTTGCATAAAAGTATTTTAAACTAGATTGAAAATGTTCAACGGTTTAAGTACTTGTGTGTAAGTACCATCATCACCATCCAAAACTGACCGAAGGAAGAACATGAAGTTTTCACTCCAGCCTCACACTCCAATCACTTCCCCTAACTCATACCTTATCCCTTCAGATCAAATATTAAAGACCTGGCGCAAACACCACTAATTTTATTTAATAGGCCTTCTAACCAATGCGAAAATTAAAACAAATTAATTAGATATGCATGCACAAATATTTCATGAAAAAATGAATTTGGATTGTTTTTGTTTTTTTAGTACGGTACCGTAACTAATTGACTAACAAATTTTTTAATTGAATTTTAAGTTTTTGGTTTGTGCTTTGAAAGAAGCAGAGGGATCAATGATATCTGGAAAGTTGAGTTTCACTTCCTTGATCAGGTCAAAAAAAATCAATTAGCCAAAGTGTCATGACCCAAAATTGACCTCAATGATCTTATCCTCTTTATATGATGACTGTTCTTTCTCCACTTCAGTTACGTACAAATGTAAGTTAATATGCAAAGTAATTCAGACTAAGTTAAATAAAAGTTACAAACTAAATTTTGTTACAATTTCATTTTTCAAAGCATTTTGGGATAGTTTTGGCGAGAAAGATCACATGTCATAGCTGATACCTTCTGACTAAAATATATTTTGAACGCCAGGTGAATTTATACAAATTATTTAAAAACTTGAAATCTCTCTCAGTGGAGAATACTGGTAGGTAACTTGAGGTCTATCTTAGCTCCAACTCACATTTAGTTTGGTACTTAAACAAAAAATTAATTCAAATTAATAACTCTGCTCTAGACAGAAATTTTTCTGACATAGATGCCCTGGAAAGCGGTAATTCGATAGGCAGATGTTTGTGTCGTAATATAATATATTACTCATATTATGAGTATTATGAGGTAGGGGGGTAAGTAGGGACTATAACTTTTTTGAATCGACTTTTACATTATAATTAATTATTTTACTAAATGTATTTTTAAAAATTGGGGGGGGAGGGGGGTGGGGAAAATTGGTAAAAAATCGTCGAAAATTGAACGATGACATTTATAGCTGGCTCCTTGGCTAAAATATTAATTGTTTTTAGACAATGTTTTCGTCGATGCTATTTTTGCAAAACTCTGGGAGATTTGTATGAGTGTGGGTTAAAAGGTGAATGGTGCACTATTCTTTCTAATTTGTTTACAATCGAAACACTTTCTTATATTTTGCGTTGAGCTATAAAGTAAGTGGAGAGGTGGGCTGAATTTTTTGAGGACATACTGAATGCAGACAATAGACAAGAAGAAGATTATCAACCCCCACAGGGAGGACCAGACCCATTTATACAATGCCCAACCCTAGAAGAAACCAAAGAGGTAATTAATTATATGAAAAATCACAAAGCCCCCAGACAAGACCTCATCACAGCAGAACTGATTAAAAATGGAGGGAAAGAAGTACACACTTGGATACATAAACTTATAACTAAAATTTGGCAAGAAGAGAAAATCCCGACAGAATGTGAGACAGCATTAATAAACCCAATACACAAGAAAGACTCCAAACTTCAGTGCAAAAACTACAGAGGAATCTCCCTATTAAATGTTACATACAAAATACTGACGAAGCTTATTGCCAAAAGACTACAACCTTACACTGAAGAAATACTAAGTCTAAGTGATTACCAATGTGGATTCAGGCCTAACAGATCGACTGATCAGATTTTCACCATCAGATGCCTATTAGAGAAATGCTATGAATATAATATACCAGTACATCAACTATATGTGGACTGTAAAATGGCCTATGACAGCATCAAAAGAAAATATATATATAAGAGACTGCAGGAGTTTGGGATACCCAACAAACTGACAAGACTAATAGGCTACATGTAACACTAATGTGCAAATATTGCGTTTTTTATCTCCCTTTTTTTTTCAAAATGAGTGGAAACACCATTTGTATTACAATAAAAGTTAATGAATTAATTATTTTAAACCTTTGAACAAAATTGATTCAGTTCTCTATATATGTGGGTATGTGTTGAGTGTAAATGAATGAGTATAAGTGATTTAGTTTTGCAGATATAACCTTACGAAAATGGGAATTTTGATGCTCGTAAAAAAAAAAAAATCAAAATACCAAATTTAAAAAATTCATAACTTTTTTAAATAATTGTGTTATTTGAACAAGTTTGGTATTCACGTTCTTAGAATCATGAGTTCTTGACATGACAGTATAAAATAAAGCTGTAGGACTGTTTTGAAAAATCAGTTTGTGGTACGACTGCTAGGGAAAAGTATGAAAGACATCAAAATCCTTTATTGAATTAGAAGATGCATCACTACAAGCAGGGCTGGAAGTTTACCAAAAAAACAAAATACATGACCATGATAAGAGAAGAGCAAACAGATGAAGCAATTAAAATTAGAAACCAGACTTTTGAAAAAGTAAATCAATTCAAATACCTAGGATCTTTGTTAAATGAAAGAAACGAATTACTAACAGAAATAAAAGAAAAAATATCAGCCGGAAACAGGGCATACTTCTATAGTCAGAAAATACTCAAAAGTAAAAACATTACAAGAGAAACAAAGAAAACATTTATAAAAATGTAATCGGACCAGTTGTAACATAATAAATATGCAAGTGAAACTTGAACCCTAAAAAACCAACAGAAAACCTATTAAACACATGGGAGAGGAAAGTTCTCAGAAAAATATATGGGCGAACAAAGGATGAATATGGATGGAGAATACGATCCAACCATGAATTGTACAGTCTATATCAGGATCCCACGATAGTAGCAGAAATAAAAAGAGACAGGCTTCCCTGGGCAAACACTTAGAGAGAATGCCAAATGACAGAGGAACGAAGAGGGTGCATCACCAATATCCAAGAGGAAAAAGGCTCAAAGGCAGACCTAGGCTTTGAAAATAGATAGATGGATGATGTGGAAAAAGATCTACAACAGCTGAAAGTCCAAGCATAGAAAAGAAAGGCATTAGTTAGGTCTGAGTGGAAGGAAGTGGTGAGGCAGGCCAAAACCCTACATGGGCTGTAGCGCCACAGGGATTATATAAAGCAATGCATGTATGAATTGTATGGCTTGGTTGTTGGATTAATAATAAATTAATGAAATAAAATTTAGGCGGTGCCATATAATTCTTATAAGTGATAAAGAGAGCCACCGCATGAAATCTTGAGATCCCCTGCCACCATGGGCGCCCGCAGGGGGGGGGGGCACTTCCCCACCCTCCCCCCTGGACTGATTGGATACAACATTTTTAGAAAAAATAGACACAAAATTTATTAAAGTAAAGAGAAAATAAAGAGAAAGTAACTAATATGATGTCCTGTCCGTTCGTTCACCATACAAATACGCTACAGTAAATTAAAACTATATTAAAACATTACTAAAATTTTTTTGCCCCCCCCCCTGGAAAGTTAATCGATTTTTTTTGCCCCCCCCCTCTCCCCTAGAAAGTTTTCTGCGGGCGCCCATGCCTGCCACTTAAACGTAAATGTATAGTTTAAGTCAATCCAATGGGATTCCAGGTAGATGGTTGTTTTTTAAATGTTGTTTTTTTTTCACTAGATTTCCAAAATTGAAAGATAAATGTTATATTATAATTATAAATCATTGAAATGCAGGAATAATCTTGCCCCTGCTTTATATGTCGTAATAAATTTTATGCCAGCTATTAGTTTTTAGAACAATGAAAATACTTTAAAAATAAATTAAACATTTAAAACCAAATAAACGCGATTTTTAAATTGTTTAGTTAGTAATGATCAATATTTGAATAATAATGAAACAACTAAGTTTTACAAATAAATTATTAAATGCGAATTCATCTTTTATAAATGGTTGAACCAAGAAAATCTGAAATTCTGGCCACTGGAATAAGTAAAATGGCGACACACTGAAAATGATTACTAAATGCTATTTTTTCCACAAATATGGTTAAAATGATAACACTTTCTAGTTGCGATTCACGTATATCAAACTATTTAATACGCAGGACTATAAAGTAATTAAATAAATCTCAAGAAAATACGATCGCTCACTCATATTAATTGTCCAGATTAAACACGATTACGGCTACAATTGACAATTGTCAATTGTCATTGTTCATAATAATAAAAAATACAATTCAAATCAAAATTGTTTTTAAAAGCATAAAATCGCAGTCAATAGCTCAAATTGTTTTGCGTTGCACCTAGTGGTGACGTGTGCTGTGTTTACTTAGATTGCATAGAGCTGTATGCTCAACTGAATAGGTTAGTTGTCGGAACAAGATCAAGATGTCTTACCATGGCAGAAGTGGGAAACCTGGAAATCCAAGTGAAATATATGGGCAACATCCAGATAACAGACATGAAGATGGAGGGAGGTATGGTCACAAGGCAGGAGCTTATGGCAGGGATTATCCTGCTCCACCTTCTGTTTATCCGTATCACGATTATGGGTCAACTTATGCTTCACAACAAAGTGAATATTATCCTAATAATGCTAGTAGATTTAATATTCAACCACCGAATCCTGCTAGTTTATCTACACAAATGAATCAAGCTCCGCCGCCGAGTTCATTGCCTTTATCTGGTTCTTCCAGTCAAGGATTACAGTCGGATGTTTATGTGAGTTTTTTCCTTATTCTTGAAATAAATCTGATATATTTTATATTAAATATTAATATAGCTGGGAACCAGAAATAAGTCTAACAGCAAATAAATGTATACAAGTATAAGCATTTTTAAGAATGTAGTCTAATGTAGTGTATAATATAAAACCACTTAATAGATTATAGTAAGATTTGGCTTTCGTTCATTATGACATAATTTACACTAAGCTCTAATTCTAATCGAAATGTGTACGTTTGAGTTGAATTAATGTTAGAATTGTGAGCTGGAATTTGTTAAATAGTGGTCTTTAGTTTAATTATCTGTCAGCTAACTTTGATTTTTTCTCTAGAATTCCAACTACGGCGACAGACAATCTGCATCTCAACGCTTGGGTCCACCAGTGAATTATTCATCTGTTGAAAACCGACAGACGGCCTATCCACCAAGTGGAGAGTCAACATCTCATAAGGGGAGATATGATGACTCATATACAAGTGATACAAGGAAAGGAGAGAGAAACCATGGGGATGATCAAAATTATTCCAAAGTTAGAGACTCTAGCAGGAGACTTGATTCTCACAGAGATTTTTCACCAACATACCTGCGAGATACTGACAAAAATAAAGAGAAGTGGACTGACAACAGATCATCCCATAAACATGAAGAAGTTAAGAGTGGGTCTGCTTCACAACAGCCAGGTCTAAATATTGAGGACCTTCTGCAGGATGAAAGATTAAAAAACGTTCTCTTTGCTGGAATTTCAAAAGCTACTGCAAGACTGGAGCAGTCATTAAAAAAGAGCAGTGGAACTACAGAAAATATTGCATTCCTTGATAACTCTTCAAAGAGTTCATCATCACAGTTATTTCCATCTGCCTCTACTGATCACAAACCCAAATCGATATTAAAGCGTAAAAGTGGTGTAGAGGAAGATGAAAACAGTAATGATTCATTTTCCAAGTTAAGCACTCTTGAGAAAACTTTGCAATTGCTGCGTGGCAAGTCCACTGTTATGGATGCATTGAGTGCTGCTGAAAAAAGTAAAGACAGCTCCAAACAGGCAGGTTTCCCTAAGGATGCCCTCAGTCAGTTGACCTTGTATGAGGATGCTGGAGAGGCAGAAGAAAGGTACCTTTATGACAGCAAAGATTTATCACCTAAGCAAACTTCCGTCAAAAGTGGTGAGAGTAGTAAACCATTTTGGGCAGTCGGCACAATCAACCCCTCAGGAGAAACTGTTAAAAAGGAGACTGATACATTTGAAATGAAGGAAAAATTGTATGAACAATGGAGGCAGACTCTTCACAGAGAAAAAGACAAAGAGGCAAGTTCCAAAAAAGATCAAAAGCTTGCACAAATTGATCCATTTTTTCAAAAGAAAATTCCTTCTCATATGATGTCATCTGGTAATCAAGCTTCACAAGATTCGGCCAAAGATGGCGAAGAGCTGGACACAACTGTTCAGAATATTTTGCAGTCTATAGGCTTTAACTTCGATCTGTCTAAACGCATGCAGGAACTTGCACGCCAAAAGAAGAAACAGAATGATGATCTTCAGACAGGAATTGTCAATCAATCAGCTTCATTTTTAGACAAAGCGGGGTCATTTGGTGACAGTGCCAAAGCCTCTTTCTTAAGAACTGGGCAGAAAGATAGTCTGGAGGAACTTATCAAAGAGGCAAGAGCAAGTTCTCAGAAAAGACAATCAAGTTATGATAGATCTTTAAGCCAAGATAGAGGTGACGGTGGTGAACATAGCCCAGAGGGTACCAGAAATGCAAGTCCTGGGAGAAATGATGACTGGGATGATACTCATTTAAGAGGAAGAAGTAGAAGTAGAAGACAAACAAGGTCACCATATGGAAGAGAAGATGGCAGAAAAGGTTCATATTCTAGAGACCGGGATTCAAGAACACCCCCAAGAGACCCATATCAAGATGTTCCAGTATCTGTCACAAGAAAAGATCAGTATGGCACTGGCAGAGCTGACAGTGATACCAGTCGAGTATTGGAGAGGTTTGCAGATGAGTTGAAAGATGAGTATTATTACCCTGATGATTTTAATAAGTCTCCTCCTGATTTCCCTCTCTTGACTTCTTTTACCTCGAGGAAAAAGGAAGAACTTACCAGTGGGCTATTACCTTCCTCTAAGTTTTCGTCAGGTACAGCCAAAGTAGAGAATTTAAGAGTTCTGTCAAGAAATGTTAAAGATGATGACGAGCCATTCTCAGAAACTAGAAGGATTATTCTTACAGCTAAGCAAGACAGATTGGTATCCAGATCTCCAACTTACAGAGAATCACCAAATCGCAAGAGATCTGCTTCACCAATGACACCCCCAGTTTCAAAAGAAAGAAGAGTTTATGGTGGTAGAGGGGGTGAATATTATGACAGTGAGAAAGGGGAAGATCATGGAAAGGGGGTGATGAGTCCAAAGTATGATATGAGAATAACCACACTAAGGGGGAGGTCACCATTTTTTAGAGATTCTCCAACTACCCGCCATTCACCAGATCGCGCTTCAGCATCGTTGTACCCGTCAAAAGTTTCTCAGAGGTATTATAACAAATTTGATAATTATGATGCACAGGGAAAGGTGGATGCTGTCAGATATGATTACGAGAAAAGGGCTATTGTCACTTCAGAAAGTAAATCACTTGACAAACTAAAATCTCAATCACCAATGCGGTACAGATCACCAGAGAGACGCAGGTCAAGATCACCAGAGAGACGCAGGTCGAGATCTCCAGATAGACATAGGTCTAGATCACCAGATAGACGCAGGTCGAGATCACCATTCAGGAGAAGATCAAGATCCTGGTCACATGAAAGGTATCGATCACCATTAAGGGACAGGCGCAGATCACCTTTAAGAAGACTATCACCAACTCCCTTTCAAAAAAGATCACAATCTCCATTTAGAAAAAGGTCTCCAGGTAGAAGAAGGTCTCCAGCTCGAAGACAAGCCACAGAAAGATACAAATTTACAAGACATGATGGCAAATACAAAATAGATAACAGAAGCAAGCCAGTTGAGCCTCCTAAGGTTGATGTGTCAAAACTGGGGCCCGAGGAACGAAAGGCTCACCTGCAAAAGATGCTGCTGGAGAAAGGGCAGACTTTGGACCAGACAAAGCATAGTATGCTGGCTGCAATTGAAAGGCTTGGCAACATATCGGTGGAGGATAGGAAAGCCTTACTGCTTAAGGTAGGCATTGTTGTATTTTTGAAATAAAATTCATTTAAGTCAGTATATAATAAAGAATTTCACAATTCAATGTTTCTATTTAAAATGTATAATTTATATGAAATATTAGTAAAATGTAATGCTAGCTAATCCCTTTCAGATGTCTCAAGTGAGCCCAGAAGAGAAACAGAGAATCATGGAGGATTTGTCTATGAGACAAGTAAAAGTGACATCTCTAAAAGCTGATCTGGACAGACTGAAGAAAGAACAAAATGAGTTGTTGAGAAAAAGCTGGCGCAGTGGGACAGCAGGCAAAGATCCTAAGCTGATAAAAAATGAACAGGAACAGGAGGCAATAGAAAAAGAAATAAAACGACTTAGCAGCACTGAGCTAGATGTCCCCCTGGAGATGGCCACATCACCACCACCTTCACATACGAAGAAAGATGAACTACTGAAGGCAGCCTCCAAAACACCTGCCTTAAAAAAAAAAAAAGTGTTACCTATATCATCAGGCGAAGATACTAAAGTTAGCCCAGTGCTAGCTGATAAAGCTGCAATGGCTCCTAAAGAAACATTGGGGAAGATTGGGGTCAGTCAAGTACCATTGTCAAATTCAGATAATTGGAAATTAGATGTTTTTACTGAGGATGATGGCCCACCTAATTTTGGTGACCCTGTTAAAGAGAGCCTTATGAAGGCAAAAGCAAATGAAAAGGAAGTTGAACAAAAGGTATGTATGACTCACTTAATTTTGTTATAGCCTTTATATTACATATCATTTTGAACTTGTTTTATAAAATCTAATGGAAATATATTTCATTTTTTTCAGAAGGCAGATTCTAAGGAAATATCTGGGAGACAAAAAGTTTATTTTGAATATTATGATAGTGGCAATCATTGGTGTGAAAACTGTAGTACATCATGTACTAGTTTGAGCCAGCTCTTCCAACATCTACATGGGAAAAAGCATCAAATTGTAAGGACAATTTTCTCATCCTCATTTGTCTTTCGTTTATTATTTTACATAACATCTTTGTTGTTGTTCATTCTTAGCAAGCAATTTTTGACTTGAGTAGCAGCCTTGATTTTTTCTGTATTTTGTTTAAAGTGTTTAAACATCCTTTTTACGTTACTAAGAAATAGGTCTGTGTGCATGTGGACACTACTGGGATCCCAGGTAGTTAGGACTATTTCAAACTGGCATAGCACCTGGGATTCCTCTAAGAAGAGTCTGTTTACTGTCCACATTTTAAAAAATGATATTACATAATAGATACTGTTTGTGCAGCAGAGGTTGATATTAAAACTTGGCTAGTGTTAAGCATTTACATTGCTTCACGTCTAAGTAAAAATCTTTTTTTTCTCAGGCCGTTGAAAAAGAAAAAAAGCCTTGGAAAGATTCTAAGCAAGAGCAAAAAGTAACTCGCCGAGTTGGTGTTTCACAAGGCAGAAGGATTAAAGGTAGGGTATTGTTGTTTAATTTTTATTTCCAACGTTTCTTTTACAAAAAGAAAGAATTTTTTCCCCCCCTTTTCAATTACTCAAATGATAATACATTTTATAAATTTTTGATTTAAACTTTAAATATAAACCTATTCGCTACTGGTACTATTGTGAACAAATGCGACATATGAGTCTGGCGAGAATCGTTGTTTCTGTGCAAAAAGCATTGGAATGCTTAAAAAGTAGGAAGTTAGGTGATTTGGTTTAAAAAAACTGAAGTTTTTATCTCTTTTGATTCATGAGGTATGAGTTGTAACGTTGGACAAGTATTAGTAAACTTGTGATTGTGTTGTAAGAGAATTTATTGCTGTGGTATTTTAGTTGGATTGCTGGTTTAGTGTTTAATTTAATTACAGATACTCATTCAACAATAATTATGGCAATGAAGATGAGTCCGATATTGACAAATATTATATAAAAAAACTGAGAATATAAATCAACTTTGAAGAATGATAATGATACTGGAGGGGTCTGATGACAATGTGATAACACTGTCACTGAGTGTTGCTCAGACAATTTGACTAGTGTTACTGATCAGACATAAAAGATTTACAAAGATTGAATAGCTTTCCTATTGATAGCAGTACAGCAAATTATTTCAGGCTGTTTATGACTAATCAGTCTGATATGCCATACAGCTGTCAGCAAATTTTGAGACCCATACTTGGCAGACAATGTTGATGTTACCAGTACTGTGGTAGAATCATGAAAACAACTGACACTACTCAATGTACAAGGGTTACTGATTTTCATATTTCTGCATGAAAATCTGCATAAATGCTAAAAACTAGATTTAGTGCTTTGCAGCAAAAAGAATAGTAAATAAAAGTACCGATATATATATTTTTTTGTTTAGGAACATCATTTTTCTATTTTTTTTATTCTTGTTTTTTAAAAATTGCATGTTTAGTGGTTTCAACAATTATTTATATAACAATGGGGTGCTTGTACGTCAGAGTTATCTCCCATTGCTTAGTACTCGGTGGGGTGTTTCAGAGTGTTAGTTTAGTAGCGAATGAGTTAAGTAAAATAAAATCTGTAGTGAAATGAAATATTTGTTTAAAATGATCATGCCCTTCCCCAATCGTGCATTATGACTCATGTAATTATATCAATTATTTAACACAGGTGGTGAGATGATGTACCCTATGAAAGGTTTCTTCTGCACCCTGTGTAAAGTATATAATGGTGATTTTGATGTGTCTATGGATCACTTGAAGTCTGATGCTCACTATGATAAATACATGGTAAATGAAGAATACTTCTTAGTTTACTTGTAATAGCTGAATGCAAGATTTGTAGAGAGTTAACATAGCATTATTACAGTTGATTGAAGGGATTGTAGTGAGATTGTTTTGTGGGTTATAAGTGAAATAAAATTATCTCACACTAGATCACCTCACTATTCCTTAAAAAGACATTTAAAAAAATATAACTTTTAAAAATGTTGAGCAAATCAAAGCTAAATATTAAAAACATAACATTTCTTAGTGAACAGAAAAACTTCTTAACTTTTTCTGTAAGTATTTTTGAGGAATACATGTCATTTATTAAATTTAGCCAAGTTTTTTTTAAAAAATGTGACGGAAAATTTGACTTATAATACTAATAAATATCTTTAGAATCTTTTGTAAAAATATTAATATCCTTTGAGGATTGGATACAGGAACACTAATTTAAAATACTCACATCATGTCTAAGGCATGTGCACTGTATAACTATAAGGCATATTGGTTATGTGTGGAAAACAAAATTATGATAGGGCTTAGAAAGACTGACTGTCATTTTCTCTATTATTACAATTAACCAATTTTTTTCTCCACAGGAATATGTCAAGCAAAACCCCATGTATGAAAAAAAATTGCTGCTGGCAAAAGCAAAAACATCTGACAAAAGACATCAAGAGAAAAGTGAAAAAAATCCCCCACTACCAAAGGAGCCACCTCCTCCCCCACCCCCGCCAGTCATAGAAGAGAAAGATAATACTCAGGATTCAAGCAAAGGCAAAGAGTCTATCAGGTCCAAATCAATGAAAAAACACCTGAGGGTTACAGGGAAAGAGGACACTGGGCATGAAGATCAAGACAACACTTCCCCAGTGGACATGGATCTTGATGAGGATGATTTGGAGGAGGAAAAAAAGAGTAAAGTGCCAAAACTTTTGGCTAAATCATCCAGTTTGCCACCATGGACCTCATTGACGGCCCCTTCCCAAGATGATAGGCCATCTGTTGCCATGAAGGAAACAAAGGAGGATGAAAACCAACCACTGGGAATGTTCTTGAGCATTGCTCAAGGAAGTAGAGAAAGTAGAACAAGTAAACTTCCTGTAGTCACAAGCTCATCCATGGATTTATCTGCCATTCCTATACCAGAAGGCCCGAGTTTGCCCAGAGAAGTTGTGCTCCCTCCAGAGACTGTGGTCTTGGCTAAGTCCAGAAAGGAGGTGGAGAATGAAGAAAAAAAAATGATGGGCATTGATGTGGATGCTGAAGTCGAGCAGCCGTTAGCAGCCATCCCTATACCTCCACCTAGCACACTCTCTGTCCCAGATATACCGTTACCAGGTCCCGCCCTGCCACAAGGAGCAGGTGACACAAAGAAAACTAAAACAAAGAGCTTGGATACGCTCTTTGCGAAGTTGAATTGGAATAATAAAACACGCAAGACCAAACCTAAATCTGTGTCTGTTCTGGTGGGTTCTGGTGTCACAGATCCAGAAATGGAGAAAAAAATTCAAGAGGAAATTCAAGCGAAGCTGGAAAGAGAAAAGCAAAATTTGCTCCTGAAAAAACAGAGAGAGGAAGAAAAGGAGAAAAGGGCTAAAGAAGAAGGGACATTGAAAAAGAACATTTCAAGTGACAGCGACTCTTCTGATGATGAATCAGAAAGTGAAGCAGCCAGTGGATTAGATGACGAGTCCACAAGTTTGATGGAGGCCATGTGCCAGAATGACAGTGTTGCTATCGGCAGTCCAAGTCAGTCCAACAAAGAGGTTGTGCAGGATGACAACCTGAGCCATCACATTAATAAACCAGTTGGTGAAAATGCTGGTTCAGTTGGTCCTAATGAAAACTTGATGAGCAAGTTAGCTAATGACAAGGAAGGTAGTTCAATAGATCAGGCTGAAGAAGCTAATGTAGTGCCAGATCTGACAACTAACAAGGTCATAGAAGAAGAAGTAGATAACCAAATCTCAGAAGTTTCAACTGTCACAGAGCAAGTGTCAGATAATATGATGCTACCTGTAGAAAATGTAGATGTAAGAATGGAATATTGTAGTGTAAGTGAGGAGGAGAAGGAGGGTAACATTGTGACAAAGGAGGAGGCAGTTTTTAAAGATATTCCTGTCAAAAAGAGTGAGGAATTAAAAAATGTTGAGGGGGGAGAACTCACTGAAGAGGAAGGAGTTATTATTAGACAAGATAATGTTACCAGAGAAGATGAGAAGCATGATGACAAAGAAAAAGATGTCGTTTTCACACAGTATGAGAAATGTGATGTTATCAAGGATTATGGCAACAAGGAAGAAGAAACATGTAATATGGAGGAGGATGAAATAGACAGTGAGGAGATGGAACAAATGATGTTAGGAGAGGGTCTGATAATTTTATCTGAAGTAACTGAGGATGAAGAGACAGAGGTGCAAGCAGAGACCCGCCTGGAAGAAACAGAAGTAAGTAAACAAGATGACCCGAGTGTCACCCCAGCTGAACTTGGGTCTCACTTGGAAACTCAGGCACCAGATACCAGTCTAGGCATTGAACAGAGCAATGTGCTGACAGTTGACTCCAGCACAAGTGGTCAATGCTCAGGCAAAAAGACCAGCACTCGTGGCAGAGGAAGAGGGAGAAAGGTGAGAACAAAAACTAATACTCGTGATCATGTGGAGATTTCTCTTTCCGATGTGCCCTTACCTTATAGTCAGGTGGATGAATCTGCAACCTTTACATCAGGGAATGTGGAAGCAACAACGGCAGATCTGAATGCTGCAGTTGACAATAAGGAAGATGGGATTAGCCCATTAACCAAAAGGCAACCCAGAGCACGTAGAGGAGGAAACACAAGAGGTGCCTGTGGAACAGCTCGTCAGACTAGAACAAGGGCAAAGAAAACTCAAGCTGACCAGCTGCTCATGGAGGAAATGAGATCTGATGATTCTCAAACAGTGAGCCAGTGCGAAATTAATGACATAAAAACACCACAGATCAGATGGGGTAGTGGCTATGTTGAATCTATGACCAATCCAGCTGATTACTATGAACAGCCCAATCAAACTGTACCCGAGGACACAAGACAGTTTTTGGCAGGAATTTCCATTGTTGAAACTCCTGAAAGGTCTTTATATTTAGAAATAAAAAGCAGTGAAAATGGCAACGACACTCCATTTGAGATGTCTTACGCAAACACAGCTGAACTGCCTTCCATTGAGATTACAAATGAAAAATTTGAGATGTCTTACGCAAACACAGCCGAAATGCCTTCCACTGAGAACACAAGTCAGTTAGATGCTTTCCATTCTGATCATTCTTCTTCTGTGGATGCTGTGCCCGCTGGTGATGATTTTGTGCAATACTATTCGGAAAATGCAGCTGATCAAATCACCAACTTGCCCGAACTTTCAGGGCAGAAAGCATTGGAGAACGACAGTGACAGCGATGCAACTATCACAGAAGAAACAGAGAACCCTAGCAGTTTGCTGACTTTCCAGCAGGCTGAGGATAAAAATATTGAACAGCTCAATGAAGGACTTGATCTAGCTGAACCTGAAGATGATCAAGGAATGGGACAAGAAGGTGTTCAGCAGTACACCAATGTTGTCTTAGATATTTCAGAACCTGTCACCCCCAGCCAGGTTTCTCTACAATCTCTTCAAGTTCAGCCCAGTACACAAGGTAGAGATCCACCAATGTCAGGTGTGGTTAGTGAATTAGAAGAACCCTTGGACACAGTCATGGTGCCTGTCAATGAGGAAGATGGGCAAGGGCTTGGTAAGCATACACATTAATCACTGCTGACAAAACTAGCATGTGTAGCGTGATAAAAACTTAATTTTAAAGATCTAGGTTTTTTAAATTTGCCACAGTTGACTAAATTAGAACCTGGTACAACAAAGTCATTTGATCAGCTACATCAGCTGTAACTTACAGTAAGTGTCAATATATTTTTAACATTTTAAGTTAAGTTGTCAGTTTGCAACCACTCAATAATTTTAGTATGCTCCAACCTTGAGGGTTGTAATAATAAGCAAAATCTATGCCCAGGTCAACCCTTGAATTTAGGCTTCTGTTTTTCCAAAAATGCTGTTTAATTTTAATAAAATTTTAAAAAATATGAATTTAGGGCCCTCTCAATATGGTGCTGGAGGTGGTTGCCTAATCTCCGATTGTCAGCATTGCATAGCTTACCATCTTGATACTCTTCCACTTGTTTGTGACGATTGTAATTATTTACATATGTTTATCATTTCCTGTTGACTACCGGTACGGTACATAACAATACAATAAGCTAAGAGTCTTTGTCTCTATCTTTAACTATATTTATGCTGAAGGCTTTTTGGCAGAAACATCCACTTTCTGTTATTGTTCCATCAATTTTTTTTTCCTACTTCTACTCATCTATTTCTTATTGCTTCAACATGAACGCAGTCCTCCCTGTATTTTTCTTTGTTTTTTTAGTATTAGTAGTAGTACTATTGTTCCACAAACATTTCTTTGGTATGTTAAGTTAACTTTCTTTGTTCTTTGTTATCCTCAGAAACAGAGTTTCCTCCTACCACAGGATTAAGTCTTGGACTTGATGATGAAGATACTATGGACTTTGTTATAGGAGAGATTGCAAAGAAGCAGGAATCTGGCAATGACTGATTATATAAATATTAAGATCAAGGTTATGGATTTTCTAATGGGTAAGCTATGGTGGTTTTTATTTTAAATGTCACACTATTGTATTTGTATTTTAACTTTGTACATTGAATAAAATGGAAGTTTTCAGCTCTGGTTTTTTTATGCTTTAGTTATAAAACAATAAACCACATTGTTGGGTCAGATGGTATTGAAAAACCTAAACATCAGTTGCTTAGAGAGAATAATAAAACATGTTTTTTTCAAATGCCATGTTTCTTTCTGTGTTTTAGTTTAAGCAAAGGGACTTTAAGAATAAATTAATTAAATGGGCCAAATTTCAGTCTTGTTTGGAAAAAAACTTGAGATGTATTTTCCTGTTCTTTTATTTCAGCTTATTTTATCATTTGTGCATTTATAATTAAAAATATTTACAGATTTTATAAATTAAATGTATGCATTATATTCATGTGATCAGTGTTATTTAGCATTACTATTACTTGTAAATACTGTTCAATTTTTACCTTAAATAAGAAATTTTTACTTTACAGCCTGGCTCTTGACAAAAATAAAGCTCTGAAATCTAATTCAGTTGCTTTGATGTTGTTTCATTAATTTTTGTTTGTTAAAATGTTATTTAGAACTATGAAATAAATTACCTACCCATTATGGATGTGTGCTTGTTTAGTTTTTTGTATACATAAATATTCCAGTTCTCTAATTAAGGTGAACTTACTAGGTACTTATTTGTAGACTTATAAGTCTAAAGAAATTGAAACCAGAGAGGGGGGGGGGGGGGTTAAAATTTTGTTTTAAATTTGTGATCTAATTAATAGTATTTGTTAAATAATGCATTATTTTCTGCTGAGGAACCACATTATGGATGTTTGCTTGTTTAGTTTTTTGTATACATAAATATTTCAGTTCTCTAATTAAGGTGAACTTACTAGGTACTTATTTGTAGACTTATAAGTCTAAAGAAATTGAAACCAGAGAGGGGGGGGGGGTGTTAAAATTTTGTTTTAAATTTGTGATCTAATTAATAGTATTTGTTAAATAATGCATTATTTTCTGCTGAGGAACCAGAAGTAATTTGATGATGTTGCTTGCCAGGGTGGCTGGATTTTATGATCTTTTACAACTATTTAAGTTCTAATTACTCACCTCATCTACAACTTTAAACAAATGGTTGAATTTATTTTACCTAAAGAAATTTTTAGATTTTATATTAAGAAAAACATTATTTAAAAAAAAAATGCCACTCAATAAATTATTTTCAAAATAAAATGTTACATTCAGTCATATATTGTGAGGTTGGAAAATTTGTACAAATTTACCCTGCAAGAACAGCAGATTTACATATTTTATTATAATTATTTTACCAACCTGCCCTTTATTTTATGGTAGCTATTAATAATCATCTCTCAATTTGTAGGCTGATTCTTGAAAATTAACAGCAGGAATATAAACATTTAATTAAGAAAAAGCATGAGTGAGTATGGAATAACAGTACTGGTATATATCTAAAAATTCGTGTTACAATCACAGCCAAACATGCCTAATAAATAAGTTCATAAATAATTTTAAATAAAAGAATCTTTTATTTTGATTTTGCTAAAGTAGACAATGCACAGGTAAGAAACAAAACAGCCCAGAATATCATCAACTTGGTAGTTATAATTTTCATAAAATTTTAAGTATTAAATTTTGTGACATGAAGTGAAGACAACTAACTACATTGCAAATGTAACAAGTAAAACATACATGAACTGCTGTAAAATCTTCAAAATTTAGCACATGAATGTAAATGATGTACTGGTAAAAATAAAGTTTCTGTTGAAATTAAATATTGGTGATGTAAAGTCTTCATAGATTTATAAACGTTATTTGATGTAGAGATTTCAGGTTGGGCCAGGAGTTTCAATAAAAAGACCTATTCAATGAGTAATAAAATTACAATTCTGTTGAAGATTAAGCAAAAATGAAAAATAAATTAAAAAGCAAACAACACATAAGCATGTTATCTCCCTGTGAATATAAATCAGTAACAAATAATTCTACCCAGTTGGTCATGAAGGTCAGGCCTAGGCTCCAAGGATTCAAGCCTAGGTCATCATTGAGACCATAACAGATATAAAAATGTTGTACCAAGTGACATGACAGAGGACACTGCTGAGAAGGCTTGAGTTTTAGCAGTACAAGTCATTCCAGCATTTCTTTCCTAGTGCCCCAAGAACACATGAATGTGTATAATAACCCTTACACAAGTTTAGAGGAAGTTGGTCAACATTAAAATTTGGTCTTAATGTTTTATAATCATATAATTTACCAAATTTTAATAATTACAGCCTGAATTCTACTTCCTGAAGAAAGATATTTATAATGTTTCAAAATGTTAAAATATGCTGCTAAAGACTGATATAACTATAAGCTCAATCCTTCCTTTGTGCATCACATATGCTGCCCTGAGTGTATAAAAATGTTTTTTTGAAAATAGTCAACATAACTTATTCATACTGGTAGTAAGAGTAAGAGTGTACATTTTTATAAAATCTGAAATAGTATATATTGAGATCATTGCAATAGTTATTACTAAACAAAAAAGATAGTACCATAGGATATGGGTAAATCTATTGCATAATATCATTAAGAATAAAGTTATAAGATGTTTAAACTAATTTTATTCTTCAGCAAACAAAGCAATGGCTATTCAGAGTAAATAGATATAATTCTCTGGGTATTTAAGAGTGTAATGTTGAGTTCAATTACAGGAAAAATAAAATTCCAGATAAATTGCCTAAAATAAATTCTTAAAAATACTGCAAAATGCGTAAAATTGTCTTTTATTTTACAGAAATTGAAATAGTCTCAATTTAAATATGGTGTAATAAATCTACTTATTATTCTTCAGTGTAAATGGGGGTGGGACATCTGAATATTAATCTAATTAGTGTGAGGTGGCGTACCCTGGAGGGAGGGGGTGTAGCACTATTTCGGATTCTTAAACTGTATGTTACCCCAGTACCGGTACATGTCTTTAATAGGCACTATTAAAAGAAATAAATGATAAGGTGACGGTGACATCAAGGCAGCTGTGAGCGCAAAATTCCCTTTGTTTTCATCTACAAAATGTTGCAAGTTGTAGGCTGGGACTCTGTAATAACTTTAGTTTCTCCTTTTTTAGCACTTTGGATGCTATCAATTACCTGTTAACAAATTGAAAATAAGTAGCATTATAAAAATTTGAAATGGAAACTAAACAAAATTTTTCTTTAAACATACCGTACCAGTTACGTTGAGTTTTAACCAAACATCACACTAAATTAACTTTTACATTACCAGGTACTGTATAAAAATACCACTCAAGTAAAAACAATAGTGGCTTTGTGGAGTTTTGAATTTAATTAGATCAATAAATTTCTAACTGATATTGACTTTTCATGTAGCCCTAAGTTTAGTAGGAATGCAGGGTATATGTGATTGGGTCTCCAAAAGTGTATGAAATTGGAGCCGTTCCATGACTTTTTGGGGCCCCATGCCATTTTAATATCAGAGGCCCCGTCTGGTCACAAAGGTAGCAAGGCCTACGTGAGTGCTCTGATTGAATGTATTTTTATTACTGGATCATGTTAGTAAGCTACTACAAACAATTAGTTAAAGATGTCCATTTCATCAAACTTTGAATAAAATGTATAATTAATCACAGTGGTCATTTTACTATGTTACTGTTAGTAAAGCAATACTGGTACCAGTACCTATAGTTAATTTGTGTGTGACCTTAACTTGTGGTGTGAAACTAGTGAAATAACCTTTTAACACTCACCCACCACATTTCTTTGCACCAAACATGCGACCTCAAAAGCACAAAAAAGACCAGCAAACAAAAGGACCAGCACAAATCTCACTGCTGTTAATCACTTATTAAAATTAGTTGATTGTTAAAATGTTTAAAGATTTTTCTAAATTTACTAAATTATGTACCAGGTACAAAAATTGTTAAATTTATTTTGATTATAATACTATTATTTTATCAATTATACAAGTAATAATAATATGGTTAATGTTTAGGGCAATAGTTTTCATCTCTGTATCACATAGATGTAATAGATTAATAAGATACGAACAAATTGTGTCAATATAACAATATAAGTTACGCTTTAATAATAATTATACATTATAAACAAGTAAACGTTTCAGCACATGCCTTCATCAGTACAAACAAAAAAACACATTTAAAGTGTGCTATATATTAGGAAAAGGAATACAAAAATTGTAACCTTGAGAAAATTAATTTCTCAATTACCGGTACATACCGTAAATTCTTAATTTTAAAAGAATGCGATTTCTATTTACAGGTATCTTTAAATTTATGCATAGTTATTTCAATGAAAATGTGTAATAACTTGTTTTGGTGATCAGATGCAAAGAAGGATTTTCTTCCCCATCAAATCTGTTTATTCAGAGAGAAAATTCATTGTTAAGTCATGTAAAGAAATCAGAACATTCTTTGAGTTTCTGAACTTTTGACCAAAATACCAGTACTATATTAAATTTTGTAAATGTGTCACAAAAAATATAGGTTATTATTTTACCTGTATAAAATTATTTGCAAATTACAAAACATATCAGTAGAAAATTAAAAATTTATGGTCTGTATTCATTAAGAGACTTTCCTTTTTTTTTAAAAAAAAAAAAAAAAAGGTAAATGTCACATGTCCTAATTTTGATTGTGAAGTTTTTAATTTTTAAAAATTCCTTTTCCTAATTTATAGCACACTTTAAACTTCAATTTTAAATCTGTGGCCCCAGGAACTATTGAATGTATTCTATTGTACTTGGTGTTATTTACATTTGAGGCAATTGGAACATTATCAGCTTCAATAATCCACCTAAGGCTCTAATAAGTTCCTCTGTGAAATCACTTTGGAGTTAGCAATTAGGTAGCTTTAGTTAATCTGTGTCAGGATTTTCTTTTCTCCACTACTGAAGAGATTGTAGCTGGCAAAAATGGAAAAAGGGGTTATCCAGTACTGTTTTGTTTTCCTTAGGGTGATATTGTACTGGTACCAGTATCTATTTATCAACTAGTCGACACCAAACATGAATGAATTGTATGTTTTAAAAATTTATGGTTGTCTAAAACAATAGTTTTTGTTTTGCTGTTCACTTAAGCAATGCCATTTGCTGTCATATGATTTGAAATAAAAAAGAATGTTTTATTATCTCTTCACTGCACAGTTAAAATTTCAATATCTCTTATCCACTGCAATTATCACCCTTAATGGATGATTATCATCCATATATAAATCAGGATCTCTTGATTATGGTTCTCAATTATCTTCCTCAGAATATGCAGATAGAAATTGATTGATATTTTAACCAGTAATTTTCAATTTCATAGCAATTGCACAGCAATGTCGATTTGCATCTAAAAGAAATGTGCCTAAGATGGCAACTCTCGCTTCTCAAACTAGTCAAACTCACAAAACAGATTAAATTATTAAAATCTTCTAATTTTTAATTATAGTTTACATTTCGTGTATGTTTAAATAAATATTAGAATGCTTTAAGAAATTTAAAATGATACATTTTTAAGCGAAAATTACCTGTGTATATAAAATTACACTTTTTATATTAAGAGTTTTATAGAACAAAAAGGAGTTCATATACA